ACAAAACTAGTGGAAAGGAGATTCCAGGGGTGGGAGGAAAGAAAGGTGGGGGAAGGTCTGGATGATATGCCAAATTGGGAAGGAGAATGGGAAACCACCAAAGGGGTTGGCAAAAGCGGGGAGGGGGAAAGAGGGGTGGAGCAGTTGGTTGAAATGAAAATGGAGGGAGAGGAAAGTATGGCGTAGGAGCAATGAGAAGGGGGCTCTGGAGGGGATACCAGAGTAAGGTTGGAAGTGGGACGGTTGCCGAGGGATAGGCAGGGTACTAAGGTGCCATTGGATAGGAGAGAGAACCAGGGGGAAGTAGATATGTGGTTGAAGAAATGGAGGAAGAGAGGGTCAGAGAGAAGCGGAAAGAGGGAGGAGAAGAGTTATGTATGTGAGGTGGAGGTGAGAAGGTGGGAGGGTTGGACACTGGGATAGTGGAAGGGCAAGGGTTGAAGGCATCGGGTTGAGGAAGAGCTGTTGCTAGGGTTTTAGGGGAGGGGAAGGTTAACTAGAGGTGGTCTTCAAGGGTGTCCAATGAGTGTATTTAAGGGGTATGGCCCACGAGTGGTTGGGAGGAAGGGTGGACACTTCCATTGGAGGGTTGCCCCTAGTTCTTGGGGGTGGGGGTGGGGGTGGGGGTGGGGGGGGGTAGGTTCTTCTACTAGTTGATGGCCGACGTGGGGGAAGGGGGAATTTTTTCGCTTGAGTTGGGGGGAGTAGTCTTGGGATGATAGAGAAGCCAACACAAGGGACTCGATGGAGGTGCTAGTGAGGATCGGAGATGTCCGAGTACGAGTCAAAGAGGAGGATTCGAGGTGAGAGGCCTAAGACGATGGGGAGTGCAAAGTGAGGGTGTCACACCCTATAACACTAACATTCTTGAGATGTGATAGTCAACTCGTAAAGAACAAAACAATTTTTTTTGATTTCTAAGAATCTGTACATAGTCTACTCATAACTAATATTAACATGAAGGTCTAAATATATACATCAGTTGATAGGACAAAATTTACAATGGTGAATTTGAACAAAAGTTACAAAGGAAATTTAATCATGGCTACAATTCCTTTAAAGCCGGTCCTGCTGTGCATTCAAACTATGAGACTGCAATTACCCTGAAAAGAATGTACCATAGTTTGATGAGTGACTACTCAGTAAGTGACCATCATAACCCCTAAAAATCATGATCGAAAAATGTAATATTTTCTAAAAGAATATATGTTGAAACAATATGAGGAAAAACATGCTTGAAGAACAGTTTTAGATTTAGGAACACATAATTTAACATATTCCAAAAATTTGAATGCATATTGAAACACTATGAAGAAATGCATATGTAAATCCTTGCACAATTCAAAAGATTTTACAAAGCACTCTTCTGGCATCCCAAGTACGTCACCTATATACTCCATCAGCATCCTGATGGGTCCACTTAATCCCTATCGGCGTCTTGGATAGGTCCACTTAATTCCTGCAGGTCCACTCATACCTCACCGGCGTACCAGATAAGTCCACTTAATCCCTACCGGCATACTAGATAGGTCCACTTATACCTCACCGGCGTACTAGATAGGTCCACTTATACCTCACCGGCGAACCGAATGAGTCCACTTATATACTAAAGTATCTCTGAAACTCTTAAACATCAGGAAGCCATAATATCATATATTCAAAATATCCTTGTAACATTTTGGGTAATAATTTCAGAAAGGTAGCAGTTTTGAGAGCCATTTTTGAAATATAACATGATAAACAATTTCTTTAGAAGAACTTTTATGGAAATCTAGAGTTAAATACTGAATTTTCAACTATCTAATATCTTTAACAATAAATGGATATTAAAAATTTATGGAAATACAAATAATCATTTTGCAGGAATACCTAAAACTTATAGTGTCTAATATCCACAGATGAAAATATTGCACAAATACAAATTTTGGTCACAAGAAAATAGGGTGACTTGCACATAGCACTTACAATATCTAAAATTCGTACTGATAGACGGAAATATAGAAATAGCCGTTTTTAAATAACTAATTTACAGGAAAATGAGATCACTTATGCATAAAACTTATAATATAAAAATGATGGACGGAATATCACAATTTTATTAAAAGCGGATTATTTTTCAGGGAAATGAGGTCACTTACACAAAACTTGGGCGAAGGTTCCGGTTTCTTGCCTCTGATCGGATATAGCCAAAGTGGGTTCAACTTATTTCCTTTCAAAACAACCACGCATGGAGTTGTGATCCTCTGAGTGTTTATTTTTAGAGAGAGAGAGAGAGAGAGAGAGACTACATGCTAAAAACGAGGGAGAAAGCTCAGGTTGCTTGGGACGTTATCTAATATGCTATATAGAAAGTGAGAGGGAGATATCTCCTTTAAAAAAAACAATGGGGTAACACCTCATGGACACCTCATGGACACCTCATGGTACATATGGGTAAACACCTCATGGACACCTCATGGTACATATGGGTAAACACCTTATGAACACCTCATGGTACATTTGTCTCAAATACACATGAAATATGAAGATGTTAGCATACACATCATCAAGCTGTGTCAAGGAGTCAACACAATGAATAACAACCTGCCACGTCAAGGCAAATTGATAAAGAAAAGAGTCCAAGTAAAAGGGGTGGATGCTCACACTTTATAAACAAAGTTAGAAACAAAAGATGGTGGTCTTAAGGTCCGCCCAAATAAAATTAGACCATCCAATATTTAACAAGTTGTGGCTTCCATTTTTATATTATTATTGTCATTATTATTATTATTATTATTATTATTATCATTATCATTATCATTATCATTATCATTATCATTATCATTATCATTATTATTATTATTATTATTATTATCATTATTATCATTATCATTATCATTATCATTATCATTATTATTCATTTTTAAAAAAATTTAGAGTCGTCACAAAGGGAGAATGGGGGAGGAGTGGAAGGCGGTAGGCAAATAAGAGTGGTTCACTCAGGAGGATCGAGATGGGGGCTGGGTGGATCAACAGAGGGATAGGGGACATGGGTCATGGGATGAGGGAGAGAGGGGAAGGGGACCTTAGGTGACGAGACAAAGGAGTAATGAATGGGGGTGGCAGTCACATAACGGGGTAGGAGGATAGTAGCATGTGGCAAAACATTGGAGGGGGATCACGTGGGCAGCGGAGGGAAGAGAGGAGAGTGAGAGGGAGTGATGGGATGGTATAAAGGGGGGGGGGCAGCAAAGAGATGGCTGGCAAATGGGGCGTGGCATCGCCCGATGTGGGGGGGGTAGGGTTGACGTCGCCTTAGTGAGAAGCCGAGGCAAGGGGAGGATGAGGAGGGATCAGAGCCCTCAGATTGTGAGGAGTAGGAGCCCTACTATGGCTCTTTTACGAAGTGGTAAGGATATAGTAAAAATCATAGTTTCCGGGATCTCTTCCCTTGCTTGGTGATCCCTTGCGAAACCTTGATTCTCTTGATCATGGAGCGAATCTCGTCTGAAAGTCAATTTAGTGTTCTCGGGATCTTGTTCCATCTTATAAGGGAACAGATTCCTTACAATTTAATTTCACGTTCTTGAACATTACAGGATCTAGTTCCCTAGTCTTATGGTTTGCGCTCCAAAGTGCATTGGGATCTAGATTCCAAAATAACGGGACACAAGTATCACCATATATGGTGTCCAGAACCCAGCAATATGGGATCACTTTAAAGTTCCTTATTTATTTCATAGAAGGATTAAACGTACATGTTATGGGTTAACAACGCCAGGAGCTACATTTTAAAGCCACAGATCCTTATTACCTTCACGAGGAACTCGTGTTCTAAGAAAATGGAGCTCGCTCCCATAAAAGTTATTCCTTGCTCCATAATATTTTGGATCACTTCTAATAATGTGCTCCCTGAATTAATAAACTCAAAAAAATTCCCTTGGAAACTTCTCTTCTTACGTATAGCATCTTGCACCTTCATAAAATAATTCTTGATCCTATGTAATAAAGAAGCTTGATCCCCATCACACATGGATCTCGATCCCGACCTTTGAGGCTGTACAGGCATCGATCCCTAACCCAAGGATCTTTAGTATAGCTTCGATCCGCCGATCCCACCCTCGATCCCGGAGTCATTCCGGTTCCCATACCCAACAACTAGGATATAGTGGGAACCCAGGACTTTGATGAGCATTTGGATGGATCACGTGGAAAGGAATTCAGAGGACTTCCAGTGGATGGAGATGAAACCCCTACAAGCTTCGTCATTGAGTCTAAAGGTGTTCGGGTCCCATGCGTAAAGAGGGACATTAGAGACCCTAAGCCAAATTTTTTGTTTCTTGGAAACACCATGGTTCTGATTCCAACAAGCTAGAGCCAGGGAAGCTCCTCCGAGAGAAAGGGAGTTTCGCTTTGATGCCCTTAGAGCACTGTTTCTGTCGGGAAGGTGAAGAAAACAGCACAATTTCAGAATTTTCTGCAACAAAGATCTGGATCCTCCCATGTTTTCTTTCCCCATTTTTTAATGCCTCAGATGTCATCTCAATGGGGGTGGAAAAAACCTACCAAGGCGGAGAGAAGCTTCTATTTTGGGAGGAGAGCTGTTGTCAGGCGAGGGGGATGAGAATGGGACAAGAGATGGAGCTAATAGAGGGAGGGGAAGGATGAGTGGGTGCTTGCTAGGGATTGGGGGCTGTGAGATTGGGTGCTTGGGAGGAATTTGGGGCAGTGTGGGGGAGGAAGTTGGAGGGGCGAGGGGGTTTGAAGAGGTATACATGGGAGGGGATAGCTGGAAGAGCAATCATAGGGAGCCGCTGTCATGATCCTTAGTTTTTATATACCATCTTAGGTTTCCTCAGTGTATTTTGTGTTTGGACTTTGTCAAGGGACCTAATAGAGTTGTATCATTCTTTTTAAGTGTGTGAGAAGCCTAGTTTGGTTGCTGGAAATTGTATGTAATTGTCATTTTTTTTAATGTGACGTCCACGTAATAGAGTTCTGTTTCATGCTTTTACTTTCAGGTATGATGCCATTAGAGTTACAATGTACAACTTTGGTTCTCCTAGAGTTGGAAATAAAAGATTTGCCGAAATTTATAATGAGGTAATCTTCTTTTCAAGTACTAGTTAAATCCCTCATATTGTGAAATCCATGTTTATTTTGTTTTGTTTTGTAGCATCAATTTATACTTTATAGTTCAATGGAGCTCTGAGCAATCTTATGCAACTTTAAAATGGCAAACATGTTGCTTGACCTATTTATGCAGTAAATTATAAAATCATTACTTCTTCTGACGGTCAACATTTTTTTTATATGTGCTAATCTGCAGCCCTTGATTCTGAATCAACCATTCAATTTCACCTGTGTCGATAATATTTGTCATGCATGGAATTCTTTTATTCAATCGTAGCCTTATGTTTTTAAGAATCCTAAAGCATTTTATTGCATGGCTGAAACCGAGTGGTCCAAAGTAAATTATAATATGGGATTCTATATTTATCGCATCAACTCTATGCGCATACAAGTGATAACTGTCAGAAGCTATAGCGATGTGTGCAAAGCACATAAATTCAAAAACGTTTCACGACATTTATTACAAATACTGACAAGCCTACTTTACAGATGCTACTACATGCTCTTCTTTATATTCAATTACAACACTCCGTGAAATCAAAACAAAGATGATACCGTCGCGAAAAATGAAAAATGATGCCCAAGATCTTGTTGCTGCGACATTCTCATTGTGGCTTCGAAAGAGAAAACAAAAAAAACAAAATCAATAGAATGCGTGCCGTGATAGTTGCTCAGGATTACCTCATGGGATGTGGAACACCCCATATTGTATCTCCTATTGTTAATGACACATTGCCACTCAGACAAAAGTCCTTTCATGAACTCATTATGGGTATCTCTAAGAATCTCAACAAACTTACTGCATGTGACTCATGATTTCTACTCTTCTCTAGGGTTTCTCTCAGTCCTCTAAGGTCTTCTCATTCTCGTATTCATTCAGCCCTTGACAATCAATTTCTTCTCTTATCCTGTGCACCTCAAGGGATCCTCTGATCCTCTTCACACTTGCAGCAGCTTATCTCTAGCTCATAAGGAACGCCTTTCTCTATCTTGCATGCATAGTAGTTTCGCATACCTGGAACAGCTTGTAGATACCTTCCTTTACCTAGAATTTGTTAGAGACGACCTTTCAAATTGTTTTGAGTGCTTATGCACCTCACCTCTTTGTTGGCCTCTGGATGGCCATCTCCTTGTGAACTAGTGCTTGTGCACAATTTCATGTGCCAATTAGAGCCAGCCCATCACCATGAAGGCCACTGGCTGTTCACAGGACATCATTGTTTCTTAAGGTGTACCTCCATTTTTAGAGAGAGATGAGGGATATATTCATCTATCATTTCTCTCCCTTTGTTGGGTCATCCAATATTTGATTTGAAACTTTTTTAGAAGGCAAAATGGTTGAGTACAGTGTTGTGTTCTCCAAAGGGTTCTTTGAGCCTACGAATTAGAATTACAATGCTTCACTGAGCATGGTTGTATCCTAGAGATATACTGAAGAAACTCCACTGAATCTTAGTAATCCAAGTTGGGGGTGTTTAAAACCTTGAAGACAGCAATAGCATCTCCTGCATGTGTCTATCTGCTGCAGCACAATGTCATGTCTCTATCTGGGAAAAAGTAGGGGTTTACAGTTTACACCACTTAAGAGAAATCTGCATTTCTCACTGTGGAAAAGAGTTAACTGCCTGTTCTGTGGTAGGTGAAAATAGTACCTCAGTTAAAGTGATACATGTCACATGGTTAAGGTGATGATGGCACTGACAGTTAAGGTGATACTCAACAGTTAAGAGAGAGCCCTTAAACTTGGCTTTCGATGACCCAATAGCCAACATTATGTTCCTATATCAGTCGCATGTTTTCTGTATAATGGCAGTTCCTATTTCTCCTAATATTGGTCATTACTTTGTTCATTGTTAGAATTAGCAATGCGAACCTGAATAGTCTTATTCACCATCACTTGGCAATGTATTTTATGTCCTCACATTTGCATGAACCTTATATTTGTTAGATGACTTGGTGATTAAAATTGTTTGGTTATAATTACATGTGCATCCCATTAAGTTTTAGGATTCTGCTAATCGTGAAATTGATTGGGAAGAGTTACAATATGGGAGGCTTTACTGTGGAGATTGTTTTTTTTAGACGGTGTAAATTATTGAAAGTTGTTAGTTGCTCTTAAAACTATTAATTATGCTTGAATACTGAAAGTTGTGAAACTTCATGAATTGCTTTATAACACTATCTTTAGGAGATCTTTCCAATTCTTGTTCGTTTACTAGACCTAATGTACTTAAACTACATGCGATCTTGAAGTTTAGAGTTCTAATCTCTGTCATTTTTATGTTATGCCAATAATTGCAGAAAGTTAGGGACAGCTGGAGAATAGTAAACCACCGAGACATTATCCCAACAGTTCCACGACTGATGGGCTATTGTCATGTTGCTCAACCTGTTTATTTTCGTACTGATGGTCTAAAAGATGTTCTGGTGAGTAGTTCAGACAAGCTTTCTTGAAGAAGTCATTATTTTATTTTTTGTAATATTGGATAAATACATGTTGTTTATATTCAATCATGTATTCGTTAGTTTCCTTCCAATTATTACATTCAAGTCATGTCTGAAACACTTAAAACCTTAAGAATTTAACACCCAAGTTTGGTGTTGAAAGTTGAATTGCTTGTACTTCCTCTATTTTAATATGGTATCCAATCCAAAGGAGAAAATTCTTAAAAGTCAGTAGAAATCTCTTGATAAACTATACGCAAATCACTAAACTCCCAAAATTTCAGTTTGTGCTACTCCCAATCCCAAAAATCTTAGGATAGCCATGGTATTTCCTCTTTTGTTTTGTTTTTTTAACATATCCATACAATTTCACTTTCTAATTGATTCCTTCTCATATATCCTTCTCTCTATGCACTTTCTTGTTCGCATGTTTTCAATTCTTTGTTCTCTCCAGTCCCTTTCCTATTTTCCTCATATCACCTCATATATGTGATTTTTTCCCATACCTACTTGTTTCTCTTTTCTTAACTCGCTCTCCTCAATCCCTTCCCCATAAAGCATCTAAACGGTCTATCTTTCAATCATTGTTCTCACTTTTCGATCAATTCAACAGAAAACAAATGGCCAATTGAAGTCGGTCCATGAATCTAAATCTATACAAAACAAAAAAAGTAAAATCGAGAATCAAACATCTGCCAGTTTTTGCTCTTTCTCCTATGCATAACTACTCCTACATAAAATACTGGTATTTATGTTTCTGATTCAATTTTCTTTCCTCCTTGTTTCTCTCCTTTCTCTATGTTGATTGTCGTGACTGGAACAGTCATGTAACAATCTTGTATAATGGGTTGTACCAGCCATGTAATAGTCCTGCACAATGTTCGAAAATTCGGTCGCCCGACTGACTAGGAGGCTGCCTAGAAGAAAAAAGTTTGAAAATGCCTAAGCGCAGTCTGAGTGGGGCCATTACGCATTTTTGCTTCTGGGCCCCTGCTTAGGCGCTATTGTCTGGGCGCCCTCCTAGGCGTCGCCCCATGACAACTTGCGAGCGGGAGAAAAAAACCCTGGAGTGAGGGTAAAATATATAATGTTTTCCCTAAAAAGGGGGGGAGAGGGTTTCCCCAATAGAAAATCCGTGGCCTTTAGGGTGAAAAAAACATCTCAAAATACACTCTTCTGTGATTTATTGAAAGATCAATAAATTTTTTATTTTTTTTTCCCAAAACAAAGGCAATAGTTCATGGGTGGATTTGGAGTTTCGAATAGTTGATTTTGAAAACTTTTGGCAATCCAATAGACGAGGTTTGCACCGACATCGATTTGATTTTGATATATTGAGAGTATTATCGTATTTGCAAGAGGGTTTTGATTTTATTTTGCTACAACATATTATGTTAAGAATCATGTGTTTTTTCTTTTACTTTTTTTTTTTTAATAATATATTTACGTGTTTGTTGTTAAAAGATTGATCTTTTTGGCGATTTATTGAATTTTTCTCACTTGGAAGATGAAATTGAGCATATATCGTATTCTTTTATGAATAATTGATTCATTTTTTTGTACAATGTGTCTTATTTTGATATTTTATTTTTTTGTTTAGGTTTATTTGATAAATAATTGATTATGTGATATCTTAATAGGTTAAGTCTTATGTGAAAGTGAAACCAAAGTCTTAAAATGTCTTTATATTGAGTTCTTCTTTTAAGTCTAATTGTAAAGTAATAGTTAGTGTCTTATGTTTGGGGTGGAGGGGGGGTTTTGATTTTGGTGAGAGCACCTTGTCCTTGGGCCCCCGCTTAGGCTGCCACCCGACCGCCTAGGCGGCTAAGCACGCAAACTGCCTAGGCACTCGAATCCGTTTTTTTGAAGATTGGTCGTGCATAATGGGTTGTAACAACCATGTAACAATCACGCATAATGGGGTATAACTCCCATAGGGATCTATATTTATATAGGGCACATCGCCCCATGATTTGAATAGAGCGAAAGACATCTATGCTTTCTTTATCTTGTGCTCGAATTTACTCTTTCTCTTTCTCTCTCAATTTTAACATGGTATCAAAGCATGGATTGAACCCTAGGATATCCGGTACTTACAGTGCCCTTAGAATCATGATTTTTCTTCCTTCTTGGGCTTGAAGCTGTGGTGTATCCGCAACCTCATAAATCTAGCAAGATCATCTCACTTTCTTTTACTAATAAGTAAGATTTCATCCCAAACTCCTTTCTTTCCAGTAACCTCATATTTCTAGCAACCTCATATTTCCAGCAACCTCACCTTTCCAGCAACCTCACATTTCCAATAATCTCATGTTTCCAGGATTCTAACATATCCAACAACTCCTTTCTTTTTTAGCAATAACCTCATATTTCCAGCAACCTCACATCTGAAACTAAGGAATTAGTACCTTGACTAAAAAAAAAACCTTAGGGTTTCTAGTTCGAGAGAAGGAAAATATCAGAGATCTAGCCCAATATTTTATTGGGAAGCAGTCAATTTTGACCACCCATGATTGATGGTTACTACAATTAAGCTAGATGGGACAAACTATTTGAATCGTCCCAATTTGCCAAAATGTTCATAGGAAGCTAGTGGAAATTGGGTTATATCACAGGAAAAGGGAGAGAGAACCTCCCATAGATGATTCATCCAAGATGAATGGGAAAATGAGAACTTGACAGTAATGGCATATGTCCTTCATTCCATGCAGCCAAGTTCCAGCAAGGAGCTGTTGTTTCTTAAGTTTGCAAAGGATATATTAGAGGCAGTAGCCAAGACATACTCATAACGAGATGGTTTGGCTAAGATTTACGAATTGCATTTTGAAATAGTGCATTTGTGGCAAGGAGAAATGCATGTGGAGAATACTTTGGGATGCTGGGGCATAAGTGGGAAGAACCATACCACTATTAGCTTATTAATCCCACCATTGATGATATTAAAAAACAAGCCGAGCAATAAAAGCTCTTTGAATTCTTAGCAGGCCTACATCCTGATTTTGAATTTCAGAGAGTACAAGTTCTAAGAAAGGACAAATTGCCCTCTCTTGAATTAGTCAATAACTATGTAAGACGGGAGGCTCTTAAGAAGGCTATTGCGTAAGGACAAAACTCAAGCATCTATTCTAAACGATCAGACTTTGCAACAAGCTTCAACCAAGGAAAAAAGGCTCGAAAAACACCAAATCGTGCCCCACCTTCTTCTATTGAAAAGGAGTAACTCAAATGCTCCCATTGTGGTAAATGGATACACACTCGAGAGCACTATTGGGACTTGCATCAACACTTGAGACCGAAACCAAGGTATGCAAAGTAGCCATGCTGCATCGAGCGAGGGAGAGGATACCTCGGGCACACAACCCTATGAATTCGATCTAAGAGATGAGGCCATCAAAGATTTATAGCACCAGTTGTTGCTCTCAAGGCTTCACTCAACTCCAAGACATCTGTAAAGCAGCCAAGTACATATGGAACTGCAAGCCATACCTCCAACTCCACCTCTTCTACGCCATGGATCATTGATTTAGGAGCTATTGTCCATATGACTAGTAAGGAAGTAGGTTTCCTTTTTTTTTCGCCTGCTTCTAGTGAAGTTAAATTTGCTGATGCATCCATGGCCAGTGCCTCTCGGAGTGGTACTTACAAACTTTCAACATCCGTGTACTTACCCTCTGTAATACATGTGCCTTTTTTTCCTTCCAATCTTCTTACTGTTAGGAGCTTGACAAAACAATTAAACTCACATTTTACCCCTCACATTGTAATTTTTATTTTTTATTTGAGAAAGGTTAACATTGTAATTAAATGGTTAGAATACATTTGGCTATAATCTAAATACGGCACTCCCACAAGTGGGTGCTCAGACAAACAGAAGTAGTAAGAGAAGAAAGAGAAAGAGGGAGAGGTAAGGAGTAGAAAAAGAATAAAAAGACCTAAAACAATAGAAGAGATCAGAATTCAACAGACTCCTAAAAATTTCTCTATCCAAGTGTTGCTATCGACTGGCGAGCTTTAAATTTCCTTCATAAGCTGACTATGTTGGTGAGAGCTAAGCGACTGACATTCTAACTTACTTCCTTTGCTAGGAGTGAGAGCAACTTGTAGAGGTAAAAGAGGGTCAGTCTTGGTGAGGTAATAGGGAAGTGGAGGCAAGATAGAGAAAAAACTGAGGTATGGTAGAACAAAATGGGAGGTTCGACTACTAGTGAGAGGCTGGATAGCAAATCTTCCACACTCGAAATGGTCCTCACATTGTATTTTTAGGATCTGAAAACGAGGATGATGACTGGTGGTGGTCTTGAAGACAGTGGGCTGCACCTGTTCAACATGGGATGCACTTGTACTACTCTCAGCATTGAGTCTTATAGCATGAGCAACTCCTCATGTGGCGCAACCGCTTAGGCCATATCTCACTTGTCGATGACTACTCTCGTTATACTTCGATCTATCTTTTGAATAGTAGAGATGAAGCACCTTCAGTAATTCATTTTCAAAAAAAAGTACCTTCAATAGTTAAAGTATTTAATAAAGTGGTTCAAACCTAATTTGAGAGCCAAATAAATTTTTTTGTTTTGATAATGCATAAGAATATCTATACTATGGGTTAAGAAATTATTTTCTTGAACATGGTATAGAACTCAAACATCGTGTTCCTATACACCACACCATTCAGAATGCAAAAATGTTAGAAGTGGTGAGAGGCATCTTAACATGAATGAAGGTTCCTAAGACATATTGGGATGAAGCAGTTCTTATTGCTGCTTTATGATCAATAGAATGCCTCCACCTATTCTCGATGGTGCCTATCTTTTCAAACTTTTCCATCATGCACTTCCTTTGTTTTCTCTTACACCAAAAAACCTTTTGTTGTGTCTGTGTTGTGCATACCTTGGGGCCGGCTAGGAATACACGAGGACCTCAATCTACTAGATGTGTGTTCCTAAGATACTCGAACTCTCAAAAAGGATACAAGTGTTACTATCCAAATACTAAAAGAAAATATGTCTTAACGGATGTAAACTTCTTTGAAAATATAGCATTTTTTTCTTCTTGAAGAGATTCAATATCCACTATGCCATTGGACAATCTTAATCCTCTTCCAATGAACCCATATAGCTCCAGTAATCCAACCAAGGAACAGGTGGAATCCATTGAGAAACAGCTGAAAGTATACACCTGGTGGATTCCAAACAACTAAAATATACACCTGGAAAAAAAACAAGGGAAAATCTAATAGAAACTATCACCCCAACACGTTGCTTTTTAAGTACTTTTTCTCCTTTTACAGCTATTCCTTCTTAGTACAATTTACCTATTGCTGAGAAAAAAGAAAAAATGACTTGTACTTCTCATCCAATCAGTAAGTTACTTCTCATCGAATCTGTAAGTTTGTTTCTTACGCTTCACTTTCACCTACCATTCATGCCTAACTTTGCTCTACATCCTTTTCCTATTCCTGACAAAGTTGCAGATGCATTAGCTCATCTACAATGGAAAGTCGTCCTGATTGAGGAAATGATTACCTTAGAGAAGCAATGAAGGATATAATTGATCGGCCAAAAGTCAACATGTGGTTAGATGCAAGTGGTTGTATACCCTGAAGCACAAACCAGGTGGTTCGATTGAGAGTTACAAAGCTTGACTAGTGGCTAAGGGTTTTACACAATTATATGGGGTTGACTGTAAGGATATGTTTGCTCCTTTAGGAAAATTGTAATCAGTACACGTACGTTTATCTATTGAAGTAAATAGGAAATGGTCACTCCACCAACTAGACGTGAAGAATCTTTTTCTTCATGGAGATCTGTAAGAAGAAGTGTATATGGCATTGCCACTTGGGTTTTATCCTCAGGGGGAGACAGGGAAGCTCTATAAATTGAGAAAATCTATATAGGGACTGAAACATTCACCTCGAACTTGGTTCGAAAAGTTCAGTATGGCACTATGTCAGTTAGGATTTTAGAGAAGTGTTTCAAATCATTCAATATTTCTTTAAAGAGATTCTTGTTCTACCACAATCTGGTAGTGTATGTGGATGATATAGTGCTCATAGGAACTAATGATAACGAGATTCAAAATGTGAAAGATTTCCTTGGGGGTGTTTTTGATATCAAGGATCTTGGTCCATTGAAATACGTCCTTAGAATAGAGGTGACTAGGTCTAAACAATGAATTTTTTTATCTCAAAGTATACTCTCAATCTTCTCAATGACACAGGGTGCTTGGAGCCAACCAGTTGAATCTCATATTGAGGTTAACCACAATTTGTATGACCAGCCGTCGTATATGTCAGAGATTAGTGGGTAGATTTATTTATTTGACTGTCACACAGCCGAACATCCTAGTATATATCAGAGATTAGTGGGTAGATTTATTTATTTGTCTGTCACACAGCCGAACATCCTAGTATATATCAGAGATTAGTGGGTAGATTTATTTATTTGACTGTCACACAGCCGAACATCCTAGTATATCAGAGATTAGTGGGTAGATTTATTTATTTGACTGTCACACAGCCGAACATCCTAGTATATATCAGAGATTAGTGGGTAGATTTATTGCAAGTGTGGCAAGTTAATTTTGCATATACCATGCTTCCAATACTTGGAGTTTGTTTATCACATTTTATGATACTTGAAATCTGCTCCAGGGAAAGGGCTGCTTTATACAAGTCATTTTCACCTTGATGTACAAAGTTTCTGCAATGCAAATTGTGCTGAGTGTTCTCTTGATCGATGATCCATCACAGATTGTGGGTGGTAATTTAGTCACCTGGAAGAGTAAGAAGCATAGTGTTGTCGCCCAATCTTCAGAGTATCGAGCTAGAATAATTTGGCTCCTTTCTCCTCTTGAAGAGATCAATGTTAATGCATCAACTCTTATTCCTCTACACTGTGGTAACTAAGCAGCAATTTATATTGCTTCAAATCTTGTATTTCATGAAAGAATCAAGCATATTGAAGTTGACTGTCACTTCGTCGGAGAAAAGGTCGCTTCAAAGACAATATGTACTCCATTTGTTCAGTTTGAGAATCAATTGGCATGCATATTTACTGAGGCCTCTAATCCAGTTCGACTAAAGGATACTTTGTACAAGCTGCGCATTTATGATATATATGCTCCAGCTTGTGAAGGAGTGGAGTAGCCGTAACAGTCTTGTATAATAAGCTATAACAGCCATGTAACAATCTTGCAGAATGGGTAACAGCCATGTAACAATTATGCATAATGGGTTGTAACTCCCGTAGGGCGGATTGGTGTATATATAGGGGCACATTACCCCGTTATTTGAATAGAAAAAAAATACATTTGTACTTTATCTTGTGCTTGACTTTACTTTCTCTCTTTTATCTCTCAATTGTAACATTGACAAAGAAAAATAGTTATCGTAATTTTCTTGTATTTCATTTTGCTTGCTAACTTGCAGAAATGAAACGAAACCCTCTTCAGCCTCATATTTGATTACCCAACAAAAGGAAAGAATGATAAAAGAAAAATGAAGTGTGTGAAACGTAAAAGTCAAGCTTTTGATTCAAGAAAAAAGAAAAGCATGGGGAGAAGTAAATTTGTATTTGATATCTCCCATGATTCTGCACAGACTTCGACATTTTCTCCAATCTCCTCTCCTTAGATAGCCCAAACTTTCTACTCTAGAAAATTCGAATGTCATATTTTTTCCTTTCATTTTTATTTTCCAGAGTTCTTCCTTTATGTTGGTTCCGATATTTCTCCAACTCATTTTTTACCCACCTTTATCTGGAAATATAACCTTGGAAGTGACACGCCATGCGATAGTTAGTTCAGAAAAGGTCAATAACTGCCCTCTTGGACTTCAATATGCTATAGGGTGAGACTTTGTCCACATATTTGCTGATAGGTACATGCTATAACCCAACGTGGCATATATAATCCGATGGAGTATGGATATCTTACTCCAGCGAGCATTACTATCTGTTCACTGCTCTTTGATGGTGGAGATTAACAATAATGGGGGCCATTAATCTGTCCTTAACCGGGAGAAGAAGTAGGAGTTCCCTTCGGGAACTACTTCACTTGTTTATGATATATTGTCCCTTTGTCATCATCTTTTCTCCATAGTGTTTATTGGTTTCTATAGAAGTTATTGCGATGAGATCGAAATTAGACGTTAATCATCTACATTCCTCTTCCTGTGTTTCCATGTAAGGCTTGTTTATGATATTTTTTATTTTTTTTATGTATTTTTATTCTTAATCATGTACATTGTTGTGAAAGATAATAATATAAAATTGCAAATTAGTCTAAACCAGCCTTTGTCATGCAATTTTTGCTAATAACAATTACCAGAGGCATGTTTACGATTCTTTTATGTACTACAATACTACTATAAAACTGTGTATTAAACTAAACCAGCCATTGTCATGCAAGTTGTGTTAATAACTATTACCACAGGCAAATATGGAGATTATGGGAGATGGTTACCAAGGAGATGTAATCGGAGAGTCAACCCCAGATGTTCTTGTCACTGAGTTTGTATGTTATTTGACCTTCATTACAGTTATAAAGGATTATTACCTGCTTATACTTTACATTGTATTTGATTCGTTAATTTCTTCTTCTTTTTTTACCTTTGTTAATTTATATCTGACTTGGACATATTGCATGAGACTTTTTTCCTCTTTGGTCTTTACTAATTCATGAATTGTCAGGAGTTATTATGTCTTCATGAATCATAATGACAAAAATAACTCTTCACGTTCACTTTCACTTATGTACATGGCACCGGAAAAGTATCAATGTGCAATTCAATGGAGCATCTCTCTCAAAAAATAAAAAATAAAAATAATTGGCTGTGATTAGCAGAAGTAATTTAGGGTTTTCAAGCATTATAATTTTTAGCATCTCCTTGATACATGTGCTAGTCTACTCAAATATTTAAGTTACATGTAAATCCTCAGAAAAGAACAAAGGGGGCAGAACAAGACTGGAGAATCTAGGGAATGGCATGCACAGTTCTTAACTAGTTGTGAACGTCACCAACTGTTTAATATTTGCATTATTTAAGGGATTTTTAGGTTCCCCATAATTCTAGACTCCCCAACTTTTTTCTTTGAAGTATGTAAGCAGAAAATACTTCATGCTTATACACGAGTGCAGTTTGCTTTGGATTCTACCTAAAAAACATTTATGGCTACTATATGAATCATTTCCTGTGTGGTTGGGTTGCAATCAAACTAGTGTTCTTGGAGAATTGAAGTTTACCCTAGATATCAATCTTGTGAAGTTGTTTTTAACCTCTTTTCCACCAATATGAATCATTTCCTCTATTTTAAGATCAGTGTGCCCTAACAGAATTGGTTTTTTAATATACTTTCAATAACCAAGTTGTACGTCATAGATTGTACTTAGTCTAGGTTGAAGGTTGAAACTTGAATGGTCTGAAGTGAGAACGCCATGCTTCCAGTTTAGAAAGTTGACATGTCATGATGAATGTTGCATTCTGAACACTCTGAATGAGATGCCTTCATATCTCTCTCAAGAAGTTGATGCAGTTGACCCTTCCACTGCCATTAAGGATGTTCCTATGTTGGTAAGGATTTGGCACAGAAGTTTATTCCTCAAACTTAGAGACTCCTGGAAACTCTTCCATCCACACATCTCTCATTTGGAAAGCTATCTATACCTGTGCATAGAGAGTTTCCCCATTGCATTATATTGATATATCGTGTGACTTGCTCTTAAGGAGGGGAACCTGTAATCTGCATTCTGGGACCATGATTTCACTATCTATTGGACTGCTTTAATGAGCAAATCGTGAGCCCCTACATCAGACTATGGGTAATGGGTCTCGTTGGTTCTGGTTTGAGAAGAAGGTTAAGGACCAAGGTTACTAGGTTAGGTGAGTGCCTTGAGAAGAAGGTTAAGGACCCACGTGAAGGGCCAAGGGTGCAGGTCCACACGTTGG